GGATTTCTCCGTGCTACTCAAGATCGGCCTCTCCCGACTTAGTGTCTGATCAAGCTAGAGCACATCTCCAGTCATACGGTGAAGATGGTCAGTAAGCTTTCTGTTCCATGTTGAGGAGTGGTCTGTGACTTTCGATTTCTTTATTGCTTCCATGCTTGACGGTGCAGTGGCTGACTGGTTGTAAGTGTCACCAGCTGGTTTATCTTCAAGAAGGCGGCCGGCCTAGGACGAACGCACATCAAACAATTCGGTCATTTGTACTACTGTACATACGGAGAGGAGTATTTCATGTCCCGCGATAGGCGAAATACCTGCCAATCGATCCGATTGTCGAGATGAATTCACGGAAGGACAGGCGGTCCGTATGGCCGCCCGAAACAGATGAAGGAGTTCGGCGGACCCATAGTGTAACCTGCTGTCTAGAGTTCTGACGACATGCTATCAGCCTTATCATGACCGATAGGGTTTGGTGGTTGGCTGGTGTCTGATAGGTTTAATCGAATGGGAGCCTAGCTAGCTTCGTGTGTGTTTATTTCTACCATTGTTTTTGTTGTTGCCGTGTTGTATGGTTCAATTTTGATTGGGGTTGGTTGTTTATTGTATGGTGTTGTCGAGTTTGGTTTGGTTTTGGTGTAGTATTGTAAATTTGTTATGTTATGTTTGTTGATTTTTTCCAATTATCTTGTGATGTTTTTTTCTGTTGGCGTATAGTTAGATCATCGTTGTAGATTACTTTCAATCCATGTATTTCTGGTTTTTATCTGACTTTTTTTAGTAAATAGCGTCGGTGTTCGCGAAGGATTTGTAAGATATTCAATTTATTGTTATGTTATTAAAGCCTTGTTGGTTGACGTGATAACCGCACATTGTGTTACTTGTTGGTTGTGAGAAAACGTCGCCATTGTTTTTTTATTTTTTCGACGTCTGACCGTCAATGTTTTTTCTTTGTACTGTCTGTAGAAGTTGTAACGTCTATTCTGAGTACAAGTCAGAGTAGTGTTTATGTCATTTATCTGTTTATTCTATCTTACTTGTTCGTCATTCATCTTTATTAATTGGCCAGTGTTAGGACCGGCGTAAATGTATTTGTGTTAGTTATAAAACGCTATGTTGACTTTAGGGTGGTGCTTCTGCAGGTGTTTTATTAGGTTTGTAGTATTGTATGTCGCAACGGAGCGTCCACCTCTGGATATAACGGCTTTGCAAACATTACATGTTGCTGTATTGCTTTGCAGTGAATCGAGAGAAAAGTATTGCCATACAGCAGACATATTGATAGTTAGCAACAAAATAGTTAGCACTAATTACCCGGCCAGAGACCAGACCGCTCAACGTTCGACTGCTTGCTTGTTGCAAACTATGGCATGGAATTCTTGAACGGGGGCGTGCCTAGGCTACTGTGATCACTGAGATGGCCCCGTTTAGGAAATCCATTCCACATCTTGCAGTAGCAAAGCAACATACCAGAACCGTGCACGGAGAATCTTTTCAGCATAATGTGTGGATCGGAAATCTAGGGGTATGGATCGGAAATTTCCGATACGTGAATTACGTTGATATCGGAACCCGATACCGATACTGGATCGGATCGGCCCCATCCCTAAAAGTAACTAAGTATTTGTTTGCGCTGTGGTTTTATATTAAATGTATTTTTCTCCAACCCCCTTCAGACCGAGGGAAAGAAGAAATACTACAGGAAGATCTGTGTGAATGATGAAGAGCTGGAAGTGGGCGACTGTGTCTCTGTTTCCTCAGAAGACCCCTCAGTGCCCCTCTATCTGGCAAGGTAAGACATCTTTAGACTTGATGGACTATGATAAGGTTTTGTAACTTTGGCTCGTATGCATCTAATGTTGTGTTTAATGTCAGGATCGCATCACTGTGGGAGGACCACACTGGGAAGATGTTCCATGCCCACTGGTTCCTTCGTGGGACTCAAACCGTGCTGGGAGAGTCTTCTGACCCGCTGGAGCTCATGCTTGTGGACGAGTGTGAGGACATGCAGCTCAACTATGTGCAAGGCAAAGTTAACGTCATGTACAGGGCCCCGTCTGACAACTGGTTTATGGAGGTACGTTAACTTCACTGCACGAACATTTGAAATGTTTTCTCATACATGTTCTCATGCTCACATTTATTTATTTATTTGATCAGGGGGGGATGGATGAGGAAATCAAGGTGATAGAGGATGACGGGAAGAGTTTCTTCTATCAGTTCTGGTATGACACAGACTACGCTCGCTTTGAGTCTCCTCCCAAGACCAATCCAACAGAAGATTGCAAGTTCGGGTAAGCACCAACCACATGTATTTGCACGAGTTATTTATTTTCTGTCATGTTTTTTTTACCCTTCGTTGTGGATTTGTCACCCTCGCTCTTAGGTTCTGTCACAGCTGTGCTAGGATTAACGAGCAAAAGGAACAGAAGACCCCTCGTGCGTTTGAACCCCTGCTGGACAAGGAGCATGACTCTAAGGTTTGTTATGCCCTGGCCTGCTATAAGGGGGATCAGTTCAAGGTGGGAGACGGCGTCTACCTGCATCCTGACGCTTTTAATTTCAGGTGAGTGAAGGCAATCCAAATGTTTAATATACTCAAACTTGTACAATTACAAACCTGTATACGAGACTCGCTGCCTCTGTTCTCGACTCTCAGTGTGAAGCCAGCCAGTCCCGTGAAGCGCTCCCATAGGAAACAGGATGTGGACGAGGACCTGTATCCAGAATATTACAGGAAGTCCTCCGACTACATCAAGGGATCCAACCAGGATGCTCCAGAGCCTTTCCGCATCGGTCGCATCAAGGAGATCCTCTGTCAGAGGCGTAGCAACGGGAAAGCCGATACCTCAGAGGTCAAACTGCGGCTCTACAAGTTTTACAGGTAAAACAAATTGCAACTAAATTGGTTTTGATTCAGGGTTCTTTTTTTTCTTTTTTTAATGTAACAATTGATTTCTCAGAATGAACTAGCTTTTGAATCCTCTCCCAGGCCTGAGAACACTCACAAAGGAGTCAAAGCCAGTTACCACACAGACATCAATCAGCTGTACTGGTGTGATGAAGAGGTGACGGTCAGCATGACTGAGGTGCTCGGCCGCTGTCAAGTAGAATATTCAGAAGACCTAAATGAGTCAGTCCAGGACTATTCCAGTGGTGGACCTGACCGCTTCTACTTCTTGGAGGTACATTTGATCATATTTGTTTCTGTTTTCCATTTGTTAAAGTTGGCATATCTTTAAATAACTCTCCTTACTGCGAGCATGTTGGTGTTCACACTGCATAGGGAGGAAACGCAAAGCTACAATATCCAATTAACATTGCATGAATTCACTGTATATGCTGCACTGTAATGATATATGAAAACAGCTTTCAATGATGTGTCTGATCTTATACATGTACCGCTCTCCCAGGCCTATAACGCAAAAACAAAAGGTTTTGAAGACCCTCCAAATCATGCTCGCTCAGCTGTCACTAAAGGCAAAGGGAAGGGCAAGGGCAAAGGTGAAAATCCCTGATTTAAATTAAAAGAAAAAGATTCCTTGATCTTAATATTGTTCAATATTGCTCACTGAAAATGCTCAACTTTATAGGTAAAGGCAAAGGAAAGGCTGCAGCGGCACAGGAGCCTCAGGACTCTCAGAATGACGCACAGTCACTTAAAGTGCCCAAGTACCGCACGCTGGACGTCTTCTCCGGCTGCGGAGGCCTTTCTGAAGGCTTCCACCAGGCTGGTAAGTGCTGGATCTGTGCCACCCATTTTCACACGCATAAAATAATGGACAACTGTAATTGTATCCTTCAATGTAATGCTGAAAACACGACTGCTGGTTTGTTTCAGGTATGAATGAGACTCTGTGGGCCGTAGAGATGTGGGAGCCCGCCGCTCAGGCCTTCAGGCTCAACAACCCCGGCACCACAGTGTTCACTGAGGACTGCAACGTCCTGCTGAAGCTGGTCATGTCTGGTGAGAAGACCAATTCTCTCGGCCAGAAACTACCCCGGAAAGGAGACGTGGAGATGCTGTGTGGAGGCCCTCCCTGCCAAGGCTTCAGCGGGATGAACCGCTTCAACTCTCGCACTTATTCCAAGTTCAAGAACTCGCTCGTGGTCTCCTATATCAGGTCAGTGTCGGACCACATTCTCATCTTGACCATTTGAGATGTATTGTTGACATGAAGTTCACAGCAGTAAGTGCACCTTTTGAACATGCGTTTTCCTTTCTTGCAGCTATTGTGATTACTACAGACCCAAGTTCTTCCTGCTTGAGAATGTGAGGAACTTCGTCTCCTTTAAAAGCTCCATGGTTCTGAAGCTGACTCTACGCTGTCTTGTGCGCATGGGCTACCAGTGTACTTTTGGTGTCCTTCAGGTGGGTCTGACTATAGGGACGCTTTTCCTTCCGGTCTGGACTTAATGACATTCAAAATAAATTGTGCTTCTGACTCTTGGCATTTCCGGGGATGCCTTTCCCTCTAACATGGTAAACCTCCCAGCGAAGCATATCAGCACAGTGCCTCATAACTCCTAATGTATTTGACTATTTCATATTCTGAGTAGAAGCCAACAGGGAATTTCTTCAAATGTGTACAAACCTCCCCTTTGGCCATCTTTAAATTCAATGCAACTGTGACCTCCCAAAACATCTTTGGCCATAACTCAAAGAAATCAGATGCTTAGATTACACACAATGGTCTAATTGTAAAGTGATCACATTTTGGACCGACCCAACTTGACTGGCTGATGGCGGATCGTACTGTGTATATGTGATGTCATATAGAAGCAGACTAACCAATGAATCTCCCATCCAGATTAATGAAAAAGATAGTCCTGTATGCCAATGTTTATGACTGCAGAAGTCTGCTCCATCACTAACGTGCTGAACGCCCCCCCCCCTCCTCAGGCCGGTCAGTACGGCGTTGCTCAGACCCGCCGCAGGGCCATCGTCCTGGCTGCGGCTCCTGGAGAGAAGCTGCCTCGCTTCCCTGAGCCGCTGCATGTGTTCGCTCCTAGAGCTTGCTCTCTCAACGTGGTGGTGGACGAAAAGAAATACGTCAGTAATGTCACAAGGTAATGAAAACTTCCCCTACAGTACTATTCTTTAGTGTAATTCTAGATCATACATTTAAATGTAATGTTCTGTCTACAGAGGTAATGGAGGAATCTACAGAACCATCACCGTCAGAGACACCATGTCGGACCTGCCAGAGATCCGCAATGGTGCAGCATCGTTGGAGATTTCCTACAACGGAGAGCCTCAGTCCTGGTTCCAGAGGCAGATCAGAGGCACTCAGTACCAGCCAATCCTCCGAGATCATATCTGCAAGGTGAGCTGTCTCTCTTTATATAAATATTCATCTTAACTTGATGTTAATGTTGGATTGTAACGTTATCCTACTTCTGTAAATGTATGTCAAAGCTATGTTTGTAACAAGAGCTCTTTGTTGTTGTCAGGACATGAGTGCTCTGGTTGAAGGGCGAATGCGTCACATCCCGTTGGCGCCGGGCTCTGATTGGAGGGACCTGCCCAACATGGAGGTCCGTCTGAGAGATGGCACCATTTCCAAGAAACTGCGTTTCGCGCACCCAGATAAAAAGAACGGCCGCAGCAGCACCGGGGCCCTCAGAGGGGTCTGCGCGTGTTCAGCAGGTATAGAGCTTGTGTTTACTACTTTATTAAGGATTACATTTGCAGTGTGGAGGCATTTCTGATCATGTTTGTCATTGTAGGGACCCCCTGCGACCCTGCAGACCGGCAGTTTAACACCCTGATCCCCTGGTGTCTCCCCCACACCGGGAACCGCCACAATCACTGGGCTGGACTCTACGGCAGGTTGGAGTGGGACGGCTTCTTCAGCACCACGGTTACCAACCCCGAACCCATGGGCAAGCAGGTACCTCAACTTTCTATAAATAAAATCATTTATAAATACACTCCCTTGAAACATCCTGCCTTTTGTGTAGATTGGACAAAAAACTGAGTTCTGTCAAATTAAGAGTTGTCTGGGTTACCCAAATATCAGAAATTGCTTAACATTTTTACAATTATGGACATTTTACAAAAAGACGTCAGTGCATTTGTCTTTCAAGCCCTGGATCAGATATCCTGTAGTTGCATCCTAATCTGAGCGTGTTTTGTTTTCAGGGCCGCGTCCTGCACCCTGAGCAGCACAGAGTGGTCAGTGTGAGGGAGTGTGCTCGCTCTCAGGGATTCCCCGACACCTACCGCTTCTTTGGAAGCACCCTGGACAAACACAGACAGGTAACTTTCCTTTAAAGCAGGCAGTTGGGAAATGGTCTTCTTTTTTATCCTTCGGTTCCTAAATGACACCGGCAGCTCAGTTTTGTGTGTCCTGCTGTTCATCAGGGCTTAAGGTCTGGTTAAAGACCACCAAATGCTGTGGGTCAGTAATTATTCTGAGTAGACCAAGGAGACACGTGCAGGACATTTTGGAATTGCATTTATCATGTCGCTAGTAACAAAACTACAACAGAATGCCAAATGTTGTTGTTGTTTCTGCCAGGTTGGAAATGCAGTGCCCCCCCCCCTCTCCAGGGCCATCGGCCTGGAGCTTAAGAAGTGTGTCATGCAGAGATTGAAAGAAGAACAAGCATCAGGTGAGCCATCCATTTTGAATGTAACTTTCCATGATTCACCTGACAAGTGAAGATGCATAAATCCTTATCACCTTTCCTTCTCTGCAGAGACTGTCAAACAAGAGAAGATGGAGGCCTCTGATTAGTCCCCGGTTCCATTTCAAGCGAGATCTGCTCAACAAACCTGATGCTGCGTGTCAGGGATCATTTGTTTTAAATAATCTGGCTTTTAACTGCGTCACTAAGTGGCTGCCATGAACATTCAGTGCAGTGCCATTCCATGTTTGTTTTTAAACTGTGCTTTTAATCATTGTGTTGAGAAAGGTACACTTCATTTGGGATCAAATTGTATGTAGTTTTTATATGTGTAATATTTCAAATAAAGCTCTTATGAAATGTACTTGTGACTTGCATGAGTCTGTGATCCCCGCCTGGCCTTGCTGTCTTTAAGAGGCTGCCCTCCAGCTAGAGTGAACTGGGAAGAGCTGATTATCCACATTTACAGACACTGCTTGACCTCTCACTTCAAAAATATCCTAAGAAGGGTTTCACAATACCTACTTGCCTACACAGTGCATCAATTGGCTGTGATTTGGAAGTTTAGACGTGTGGATTTAATAACCCCATCTGTTTTCATGTGTGATGTTAGTCCCCAAAGTAGCAAGAACATTTCGTTTTTAAACTTTAACTCCTGCAAAAATTGAGTTGTGACCCGAGTTAATCACAGCCTAATGATTCTTTATAATCTAAGCTTCAAACTGTGGGCATACAGTGGATATATGGATTAACAAAAATGTTAAAGGTTGAGCAGTTTGCAGAACACAAGGCATCAATAATAGAAAATGTCAACCTTTTGAAACAACCATATTTTTTTGTTTTCTCTCCCATTGAGTATATCCAAGCATTAATCCTTTAAAGCAGGAGTGTCAAACTTGAGGCCCGCAGGCCAAATCAATTGTATGTGGCCCGCAAGAGTGTGCAAAGAATAGAATATGTTTGTTATACGGTTAGATGCCGCTTTACAGAAGCACGTTGTCTATAAACTACATGTCCCATAATGCATCTCATTTTGTGACATGCGCACTGAAGAGTCTTGCAATTATTTTCCCTAGACTTCTGCTTTCAGACGTTAATTAAGTTTTTACTCTACCCGATAATCCAATACATTTTATATATTTATAGTCTTAAAGTTACAACTGGCCCTTTCCATAAGGAAGAAAAGGAGGGATGAAACCCTCTTTAATGGTCACACATGCAGAGCACAGTGAAATTAGTTCTCTGCATTTAACCTTTATATACACTGAACAAAAATATAAATGCAACACTTTTGTTTTTGCTCCCATTTTTCATGAGATGAACTCAAAGATCTAAAACATTTTCTATATACACAAAATAAACATTTCTCTCTATTGTTCACAAATCTGAGATAGTGAGCACTTCTCCTTTGCCGAGATAATCCATCCCACCTCACAGGTGTGGCATATCAAGATGCTGATTAGACAGCATGATTATTGCACAGGTGTGCCTTAGGATGGCCACAATAAAAGGCCACTCTGAAACGTGCAGTTATGCTTTATTGGGGGGGTCCGAAAACCCTAGGGTTAAACCCTAACCCTAACATGTCACCCATTGAGCATGTTTGGGATGCTCTGAATCGGCGTATACGACAGCGTGTTCCAGTTCCTGCCAATATCCAGCAACTTGGCACAGCCATTGAAGAGGAGTGGACCAACATTCCACAGGCCACAATCAACAACCTGATCAACTCTATGCGAAGGAGATGGGTGACATGTTAGGGTTAGGGTTTTTTACCCAATTTGTTTTTATAGGATATGTACATTTCGGTTAACCGATTAACCATTTTTTGGGGGGTCGAATATTNATCAACAACCTGATCAACTCTATGCGAAGGAGATGGGTGACATGTTAGGGTTAGGGTTTTCGGACCCCCCCAGAAAAGCAAAACTGCACGTTTCAGAGTGGCCTTTTATTGTGGCCAAACTAAGGCACACCTGTGCAATAATCATGCTGTCTAATCAGCATCTTGATATGCCACACCTGTGAGGTGGGATGGATTATCTCGGCAAAGGAGAAGTGCTCACTACCACAGATTTGTGAACAATATGAGAGAAATGGTTATTTTGTGTATATAGAAAATGTTTTAGATCTGAGTTCATCTCATGGAAAATGGGAGCAAAAACAAGTGTTGCATTTATATTTTTGTTCAGTGTATATATACACAGTCTATGCATTTAACCCATCCTAGTACCAGGAGTCTAGTACTAGGAGCAGTGGGCAGCTATTGCACAGCGCCCGGGGAACTGGCAGGGTGTCAGGTGCCTTGCTCAAGGGCACCACGGCAAGGCACGAGGTGAACTGGGACCTCTCCATGTAGCAGTGCACAATCCATATTTAGGTCTATTCGGGGACTTGAACCAGCGCCCCTACTGACTGAGCCACTGCCAGAAATGCTGATGTGGCCCACAACTAAATTGAGTTTGACACCCCTGCTTTAAAGTGTTATTGAAGTAATGTAAAGATGAGCAGGTAGTACTTTGAGTTGTTGATCTTGAGGGAAAAACAGCTAAGACTACAATAAATACAATGCAGCAGTCTGTTACTGTCTTAAATACCAGTATGTCACAATAAGCACTGTTTCAAAGGAAATATGCTACCTACATTTTAAAGATTTGATTTACCAAAGTGTTTTGTCTGGTCTTAACTGGTTGAATCAAACACATTTTTTATATTTAATGAAACACCAGTCAGAATACTGTACTGATATGGCTTGAAACAAATCACTCTTTCAATAACTGCTCACCCAAAGTTCTGCTTGAGGTTGAGGTTTAATACATGCTATCTTCAGAGTTGAATAAGTTGTATTACAATGCAGAACAGAAAGCAGACGCATTCTGTGGCTTGAGTGGTAAGAATCTGTGTTCCCTTTCCTTTAAAAAGAGTGTATGAAACACTCTGCTTTTGCCAGTTCTCAGTTGGGTCTACTTAATCTCCAACTATAAGTGAAAGTTCAGTAAGAGTAAAGCCTGCTTACAAATGTGCACACTAGAAGAAAACAATAACAAGGAAATGGTGATGACAATTGTGATTCTCTTTATTTAGGTAATAGCCATGTTTTACCAAAACCATAAAAGCTGGCGTCATCCTGGAATATATTCTGATGGAATCCTCAGTTGTTTGACGGTCTGCAGAGAGAAATAAATAAGGTTGTTAGCAAGAATAAAAAACAAAAACACATGTAACACTTATTTGACAAAACTGAAGTTACTTACTTGGCCCATTCAACATTGAGAATAAGATGATCGTATCCAAATCCTGACACTCCTGCGATGGCTCTTGCTGCATCCTCCCGGCGGTGGAAACTGATGAAGGCGAATCCCTGCAGAGAACAAAGTGGGCGGTTGATCGATGGTACAACTGTAACCGGCTGTGTTTCTGACCATTATCATTTCTATTGAATTATAACCATCATGTTTAGGTCATAATTATCTTCAAACAAAACACAAGTAAGAGACTATATAAAAAAAAGACTATATACATCCAGCTTACATGCAATTAAGACAGAGAAACATTTAAAAAAAAAAAAAGGTTCTACTGTTTTTATTGCTCTACTAGTTAGTCCATTTGTTTCCTAAATTCTATTTTGTGTGATTATTTCTTAGTACAGTTGCACTTGTAAATGTAGAGTTTTCTATATAAAATAGAAATGTTTAAAATGGTCATTGTCATCTTTGCGAAAACTCAATAGTACATACTTTGAGTGACCACTACAGTCAAAATAGTCTCTACAGTGTCGATTGTTTTTGTAAATAGCAGGTGTGTTTGTGTTGTTGAGGCTCAGCACTGACCTTGGACTGCCCAGTATTCTTGTCCTTGGCCAGATAGATCCTGGAGATGGAGCCAAATGGTCTGAAGAGCTCCTGCAAGTCCGTCTCGCGGGTGTCCTCAGACAGATTGGTCACACGAATAGTGGCATTGTCATCAGCTGTTGGGGGCAGAAGTACATCATCAATAATGGGCAAAGCTTTGTTGATGAAACATGATTTATGTATAGAATTGGCATATAGAAATTCTGATTTAACGTACATCCTCCCCTCCGGTTGGGCTGCATGGACTCCCCTCTCCGCGTGCTTCCATCCCTCAGGCTCGGGGGGACATACTTCCCAGTCTTGCTCTGCGCAGGCTGTGCCGGCTCAGGCTCTCCTGGTGGGGCAACGGAGAAACAGGCCATATTAGTCATGACTTTAGAAAGGTCCAAAAACCAAGTGGATCAGGAATGACAGATCTAAATTTGAATGATTTGAATAGCGTGTGGATGTACCAGAGCCAGCAGGCTTGTCCTTGTCTGCTGTGGAAAGCCCAAGCTGCTCAGCCAGCTCCTTCTGCATGGGGCCCAGGGTGTCCTTGTATGGACAGCGGGTGGTCCAATGGTCGCCTTTGCAAATACGGCAAGACACAATCTTCTGTCCTTTCAATTTGTTCATGGGATCCTCTTCCTGGTCTTGGGCATTTAAGTCCTGCAAGAGGTAAGATGAGAAACTCAGTAACAAGCATAACCAAGAAAATAACAAATTAATACTGTATTAATGCATTTCAGCATGTTTTATGTGGTCCTCAACACATCACTAAGCAGCAGCACCACATTTTATAAGTCCCAAAGCATACTTGCCTCTTTGCTGGAGATGAACACCATGAAGACATCGTCACTGACTGTGGTGGTGGCAACATTGGGACCTTTTGCATCAAACTCAGAGTTGCCAAATTTCTTCCAGTTCTGAAACAATAAAACAATATCAGATATGGACCCTGACCTAACCCAAAATCTAAATCAATTCGAAGTGAAGGCAAATAGACGTAAATGCAAACCTTTCTCCTTGCAACAGCTTTTGACGCTTTCCTTGTCTCGATCTTGAAGGTCCGCACAATCTTGGGGACAAATAGGCAAGGAATGCTAAATCCATTTAATATGTAAAAGAAGCAAAATGCTTGTATTTCTGTGTTGAAACTACTGCGGTACTACAGTTTAAAGCTTGTATAGTATTATATAATCTCTTTCATAGCGATGACAGTTCCAGTTCAAAATTATTAAAAATAAGCAGTTGACAACTGTGCCCAAAAAAAAAACGTTCTTAATTTATCTTGCCGATTTCTATTCAATTGACATTCAATTTCTTGTAACGTATGAAGAGAACCAACGTGTATAGTTAGATGACTACTTGATTATTACAGTACAGCTTATTTTAACAGCATTTTCATGAATTAGTCTACAACCATACAAATCCTTTTTTATGGGAAATGAACTCCTCTGTACCATAAGGTCTTATAGCCAGGGGTGCACATAAGTGGTACGCAGGTACGCATGCGCGGCAACAATCTGAAATG